AGTGTGTGTGTGTGTGTGTGTGTGTGTGTGTGTGTGTGTGTGTGTGTGTGTGTGAGAGAGAGAGAGAGAGAGAGAGACACAGAGAGAGAGACAGAGAGACACCCACCCACCCTCACATAGACACACAACTTCTTTTAGGGACTATATCCCCCAGGCAACACCTCTTTCTACCACAGCCTGTTTCCTAACATGTTTCCTTACATGAAAGGTTCTGTAGAGTATCAGAGAGTCTGTAGACCACAGTGTGAGAACCACTGCATTACTGGATTACATACTTTCCAGCTGTCAATATAAAATAAGTTTCCTTCCTATAAAGTGGGTTTCTCCTATCACCTGAATGATTGGTGGTACACTACAGCTCCCATTATCAGTTGATTAGCAATGAACCAAAAGAACTACTAAGTCTATTAGTTAGGTTAATTTTATCTCTGGTATAACTCCACTGAACATAAGAATGGCCACACTGGGTCAGACCAGTGGTCCATCTAGTCCAGTATCCTGTCTTCCGACAGTGGTCAATGCCAAATGCTTCAGAGGGAACAAACAGAACAGGGCAATTATTGAGTGATCCATACACGGTCGTTTAGTCCCAGCTTCTAGCAGTCAGAGGCTTAGGGACACACAGAGCATGGGGCTGCATCCCTGACCACCTTGGCCAATAGAAACATGGCATCTGTGGTTCCTTGTCTTTTCCTAAAGCCAAGCTGTTCTTGTTTGAGAAAAGGTTCCACTGTTCTCCTAATCTCAGCATTCCCTCCATGAAATTATTTAATTTTTTTTTTCAACCCAGATTTACTTTTGGCCTTCACAGCATCCCCTGGCAACAAATTCTACAGGTTGATTGTGCATTGTGTGAAGTAGTACTTCCTCTTGTTTATTGTTCCTTATGTTTGCTTGTTATGCTTAAATACTTCTGTATGCTGCTTATTAATTTCATTGGGTGACCCTGGTTCATGTGTTATGTGAAGGGATAAATAACCCTTATTTATTCACTTTCTCTACACCGTTCATGATTTTATAGACCTCAAGATGGAAGACTTCAAGACTGAAGTTACACCAGCAATTAATTGGGCCCATTACTAACCTGTCATATGTAACTTGGTAATAATTTGCAGTTTTTAATGACTTTACACACTCCTAGAGAGTAAATTACTATGGCCTCTAGTTTCCCTCAGGCTACATGGGTATTTTAACCCCCACAATTGCTACCACCAGTCAATATCCTCTTTTCTTGTATGAAGTCAGTGTCTATTTTTTCTAGTGGCTATACAGCTTGATTATACCAAGTTGCCACTCTTCCCCTTCTCATTAGGGTGACCAGATGTCCTAATTTTATAGGGACAGTCTAGATATTTGAGGCTTTTTCTTATATAGGTGCCTATTACCCCCCACCTCCTGTCCCGAGTTTTCACACTTTCTATCTGGTCACTCTACTTCCCATTGCACCTTTAGTCCCATTGCTGTGTGTGATTATTGCTCTTCCCCTTCCACTTTTTATGCCGTGTGGAAGAAGGAATTGCAGGTATTTACATAACTCAATTTAGTGAGTTATAGAAGTTAATGTATTTCTCATCATGAACTGCTGCTTCAATACAGAGGTGAAACAACATGAAAACCACAGGTATGGGAAACCAGAAATGAATGTGAATGAGTCTCATAGCCACAATGAAGGGACAATAACAGGGCAAGAAAGATTTGAAAGTGGAGGTTCTGTGTCCCTCATATCTACTTAGTGGCTATTCCCATGCCTTAAGAGAAGTATTTTCATTAGCAGTAGAATCTTCAAATGAACAAAACAGTTGGTTTTTAAAAGAAATCTCATCACATTCACAGGCAATCAAAATGCACTACCTAGGCACTATAATTACTTGTGTGAACTACATGTAGTTTACTTCCATGTGTAATAATAAATCTATTGCCTAAGATTACTTACAACTTGCTCTCAACAAGCTAGAAATACTTCCTGATATATAAAAGTAGATTACAGTTACTCCATGTGTACGCCATTCAGTTGGGCTAATAAGGCTTGAGCAGCCCCCAACCAATTTCCATTGCTGCAGCTCTACCAGTTGTTGCAGTGATGAGAGTGCTAATGTAGGTAGGCTGATGGTGTTTTAACTGATCTTGTCACCTAACCCTGTTCAGAACATGTCTAAATGATATAGTAGGTAAAATAGTAGCAAGCTGTTAGAGACTTGTCTACAATAGAGCTCCCAACGTTGCTATTGCAGGTAGGTATGGGGTTAAATTAAAATTAGGTCCCGTATCTGCAATTAATACAGTATGGACTGACCCATGCACCTGTGAGGAGCCACACTGGCTTCAGGAGGGTTCCATATGGGTGCAGGAGTGTCTGCGTGGGGCTTACATCTAGTGCAAATAAGAGCTATCACTAATATACAAATAATTACACTGGCGAAAGGCATGAAATAGTAGTTGCACATGATTCTTTCAAAAATTTCAAGTGGAAACAAAAGCGCCATGGTATTCCACTCATGGAGTTATTCAGACATTACTGGAACACCTCTGCATCCCTCTCCAACACATACCAGTCTAGAATAAATAAAAAATATAATTACAGTAGCAAGTAGTCCTGACTACTTCAGTATGTAAAAAATTAAACGGCGCATGTTTGCCTTCCCCCAACCCCCTTTGCTCTAAATCTACCCCCAAGATTATATATAGCATGTAAAGAAGGGCCTGACATGCAAGATTCAGAGCTGAATCTGATTATTATTTCTCCCAACAATCTGGGTTTATGGTTTGATTTACCAAATTTGGATCTAAATCTGCATTTCAAATCCCTTCAAATTAGGAGGGTAATTACAATTATAATTGGACCCAGGGGCTTGGGCTAATGCATAACAGCATGTACATACATATATATAAGTAGAAAGTTGATGTATATTAAGAGTATGCCATAGTATAATTAACTTTTGCTTATTCATCTTCTACAAACATTTCTCTTCAAACTCTAAAAATGGCCATATTGGGTCTAGCCCCATATCCTCTCCTCTGACAGTGGCCAATGCCAGGTGCTTCAGAGGGAATAACCAGAACAGGTAATCATCAAGTGATTTATCCCCTGTCGTCTATTTCCAGCTTCTGGTAAACAGAGGCTAGGGACACCATCCCTGCCCATCCTGGCTAATAGCTATTGATGGACCTATCCTCCATGAATTTATCTAGTTCTTTTTTGAACCCTGTTACAGTCTTGGCCTTCACAACATCCTCTGGCAAGGAGTTCCATCGGTTGATTATTTCAGTTTGGAATACATGTACAGTAAAAAAGTGTGTCTCAACAGAAAACTACTTTATTAAAATAGCTGCTGTCTAATTAAGAGAAGACCAATACCCCATATAGTTTATAGAAATTTGATACCCTTGTCAAAACATCAATGTAAAGATTTTGTAATCTTCACAGAATCAATGGGCACTTGTCTTCCCACTTTACAATGAAACCTGTAATTTCTGTAATGGTAGCTCTTAACAAAGACAACCGAGAAGCAGGTCAGTCTGGTTCTCAGGTGTTCTATTACACACAGGGAAATACGGCCCCACCTAGTTAAGTTTCTACAGTGCATTCCCGATGAGTGTGACAGCTGCATTTACAGTACCTGCGTTCTACTGTGTTCACTAAACTAATTGCACTCTGTGCTACAGAAGTATTTCAAACCTACCTGCATATAGAGCTAAAAGGTAAGTGCATTTTTATTAATGAATTTGGCTAAGTAATCACAGCAGCATTGACTTTTTGGACAAGATATTTGGGTGAATGTAGGGACTGGGTAACCAAACTCATAGCAAAACTACCCCATAAGGAAAACATTAAAAGACAAATTAACTTGGGCCAGTAATTCCAAGATTTAACAGCAAAGATAGGCAGAGACGTTAGAACCATAAAGAGAAGATGAAAATATTTCACTGTAATTCAAAGTTTGCTGACAATTGCTTTTCCTGCACTTTTAAGAAGTGATTTTAGCATGTAAGTTTAGGATTTGCTCTTAATGAACTAAGTCTAGGAATCGACAGCCTGAGTCTGTCTACTTGGGCTGGGAGGCATGGTTGCATCTGCAGTGTAGACATACTCTAGGAGTTTTGCCATTGACTTCTATGAGGCCAGGATTTCACTGTGCGTATGCACATATGCACACATATGAATGTAGAGGAGGAGCCATATACAGTAGGAATACTGCCAAAAAACATCAATAAAATAAAGTTAGTGCTTTAAGTATCATTAACCACAGAGTGACACGGATTTTCACTAGCCTTTCTCCTGGGTATTCAGTTTTAAGCAAAATAAAACTAGTAAAAATATGTGATAAGCCCAAACCTTGTTCAAAATTGTACTCAAGTCCAAAGTGACAAGCTACCAATGTCAAATGGTTTGTTTAGGGATCTGTATGTAGTTCCATCTATATGCCCTGATCCTGCAATGAGATGCCTGCAGATGGACCCCTGTGCCTGACTTTAGTAGGGCTCCACACTAAGACAGGGCATGCACACATGTCATTGAAGGATTGGGGCCATAATGAGGGAAGAGTCTAAGTCAGAGAGTTTGATTCAAATATTATTTACACGGCTTTGACCTTAGTGTGATTTCAGTGTAGTTACTTACAGGTGCCAGCAAGATCAGAATCATCATATCAGATCATTTCTCCTTTTAAAAGGTATTTTACAATTAGTGTCTCAAGCTAACTGGAAAATTCTTTAGATTCCGGCTAATCTTCTGTTCATCAGATTTTGGCTAGTCTAAGGTGCTGGAGCTGCAATATTTGCAATATTTGCAGTTGTCCTATAATACCACTGTTTGCATATTAAGCTCTAAGGGCAACGGATGGTTTTCTAGGGCTGTAGAGTTGTTTCTGATCTGAATCTTAATGCTACACTAATAAAAGACCAGTTAATTATTAGACACCAAGGGTTTCCAAGAAATACAACCTAAATATAGCCTTAGAACTACTGTAAAAAAATCTTTGTGGCAAGGTGTTTTCTCTCTTTTTGTCCCCGAGGAAAAGAATTACAGGATTAAGGAAATCATGAAAACCACATTGTTCAGTTAGGAGACAGAAATGAAAGGTGCAGTTAAAGTGAACTGTTAGTAATTTCCCTTGGTAGTTTCAAATTACAGTCAAGGTGAAATAAGAAATATGACAAAAACTCACTTTGTTCAGTAATGACATGGCTACTGATACAAGGAAAAAGAGGGGTCATGCCAGTGAGCTAAAACAATGGTACTTTCAAGATGAAAGCAAATATTTGAAAGCTTAGTAAAAGCTCATTTAAAGTTTTGTTTGCTATACTTTTCTGTAATTATTACTCAGATTGGAAAAACGTCCCTGTACCCAGGTATAGTGAAAACAATGCAACTTTCATTAATATAATTGTGAGAGTTGGCTGTTCAGTTACAGATTTGAGACTCCAAACACAAAGATTAGCTCTAAGCAGAAAGTTGCAATACTTATTTCTGTAAAATAATAATAATAAAAATAAAGTTTTAAAATCTTTTATTTTTAGCTGAATAAGTAAGGACTATTAATCCCACCTGGCAGATGACCACCCTACATTGGGAGACTGATCAATTTACCAACATGGAAACAATATTTATAAACAGATTGCTGAAAGCTGAATCCCAAAAATATACATACATACAGATTCCAGTCCTGGGCACTACATCTTGTACCCACTGAAGTCAATGGGAGTTCAGTCACTGACTGCAATGGGAGCAGGATCAGACCTAATGTCAGGTTCATTGACTAATAGCTGAAACTGAACCATATCGTCCATCAAATGACAGAAATCTCTGTAGGGAGGGTGTCACAGAGACAAGCTGGCTTACTCCAGTAGCTACTGTTAGAGTCCATAGCTATACTCATCCCTCTCCCAGGCTGTGCTGTGCAGAGAGGAGCAAAGTTGTGGAAAAACCCATAGTTAGATTTATAAAGGTGAAAGGAAAACGGGCCAGACAGTGGACTAAAGGGTGAAAGGGAAAGGAGCCAGGTCACTGCCTCTAGGCAGCATGTCTCCTTCCTACAGGCAACAAAACATGCATAAGAATAGTGGGTTAATTAACGCTATTGAAAGTAGTGCTAACCTTCACATTTTAGTCTGTGATCTTTGGGAAGTAATAATAGCATGACCTCAAGCTGTCACTACTCTGGAAAGCTAGATAAGCATATGGCAATATGTCTCAAGAGATTGGGGATCAGGATTCTTGCTGATCCTTGGTTGAACATTTGCAAATCAGGGCAGACTGCACTGCTTTGGTGTTGATGTTTGGTTCTGAAGCAGAAATGCAGCTCCGCTAATTCCATGGGCTGGCTTAGCTGCTGAACTGTCATTAATCTCCTGGCAGCAGCTGTATTCCTGTGATGGTCTCCCCCTCAAGGTCACAAAACATGTAAGGGAAATCATGACCTTCAAAAGCTAATCGCAACAACAACTATACCACTTTGCATGGAAACACACTCTGTTACTTAGCTCTTCAGCCTTGCCACATCCCTATTACTCTCATATTGCTGGGTGCTACCCTGTAACCAGAAAGCATCGGTTGCTGAAAACATGCCCTTTTAGGCATGGGTCTTGGTGCAACGGGTTCTTGGTTACATGTAATAGCAAGTTGTTACAGACTGTGAGCTGTAGAATGGAGGGGAGTATACAGCTTTGCCTATGGAAGCATGCAAAAAGCTTTGTTGAGGAACAGCAATGCTTTGAGAGAATATTATTGCTATCCAGGAGTGTTAAGTTCTCAACATGAAAACCTTCAGATATGTCTACATTGCAAGTAAACATCCACAGCTGGCCCATGTTAGCTGAGTTGGGGTCATGGGACTCAGACTGTAAAAAAGACTGTTGTGCTGATGTTTGCACTTGGGCTACAGCCCAGGCTCTGGGACCCTCCCCTGTCACAAAGCCCTGGGTCTGAATGTCTAAATCACAATTTTACAGCCCCCTCAGCCCAAGCCTGACTCAGCTGACACAGGCCAGCCACAGTTGTTTAACTGCAGTGTAAACATACCTTTAGGAACCTCCATAACTTCACTTCTCTAGTATCAAGCCACTTGTAAGTTTTCATCAACATGTCTGGGTCTTCATTGTCCAGCTCTCAGTTTCACATCATAAATTAAATTACAAAACTTTTCACTTCTTTCAGGTTCTCTACATAAAGAAACAAACCACAAAGTCAATACCATGCTGCCTTCCAGTGGAATTCTTTTTATTTTACTGCCCGTTAGTTTATGGTGGACCAGAAGCAATGGTTACAGTAGTACAGTCAGAACAACAAACACTGACAATAGTTCAACTATAGATACGACTTCACCTACACACCAAGGAACTTCACATCAGCTAGATCTTACTGGAACTAACGGAATAACTACTCCTGCTATAAGCCATGTTACGCCAACAATGGCCAATAAAAATGCAACAACAAAAAGTACAGTAATAGAGATTAACACTCAAAGTAACAGTGTAACTCAGAGATCCACTAATGGCACAGAGTTATTTTCGACTTCGCATGTGGATAAGGGTTCAACAGATGGCACAAATACCCCTGCCAAAAATGTCAACAGAATCTCACCATCTTCAACAATATCCATAACCATGAGTGACTTGTCCACAGCGACTGAAAGCAACATGCCTACAAATGCTGGTGTGTCATCGAAAACGGAAGCCAAAAACTTCACTTCAGTCACCTATAAGACCAGTTCTACTGCAACAATCTCCACCAAAGACTCTCTAAAGAGCTCCACAGAAGTCTCATCCACGAACAGTCCATCAAATACACTGACCACATTATCCACACACCAGAGTGGCAGTGTCACAACAGACTTCAAAACAATTTCACAGACTACAAAAAACGTACACCAGAATTTCACCAACCATTCTATAGTCCCATCAAATCCGAAAGAACCCAACAAAGGTAAAGGTTTAATTACAGTAAAAAAAGTTTAATGATGCTGAACAGTAAAATGTTTACATTGTCTGGGAAGCTGAAAAGATGTGTGAACTGCTTCAGATAAAACTAGACCTCACCTGAAAGTTTTATTAAATTAAAAACATTTAGGTAACTTTTACCAAATATAATTTTCACACCTTTCTGCATTTCTGGGGTTTAGCTGAACCACAGGCAGAAATATTTTTTATTTATTTCAATTTCAACAGGAAGTCAAAGATCCGGGGCTGCCGTGCAGCTACTTTGAACTGCATTGCCAGATTTCATCTGGTATTTAGCAGCAGCGTTGAGGACACCATTTAGTGGTGGAGGGCTAGAATGAAATAACAAAGTTTGTATTATAGTAAAACCTAGATCTCCTACCAAGATCATAGCCAGACTGTGGTAATGATTGCCTATATACATAGTAATAAATATTCTCAGCCCCAAACTTCTTACAATCTAAATAAAAAAAACTGGTGAAGGGTAGGAGAAAGGAAAACACTATTATCTCCATTTTGCAAATAGGGAACTGAGGCACAGAGAGATTAATAGTAACATTTTCTAGTGGTTTCGGAGCTTAAGATCCACTGAAAGTCTCTTAGTCACTTTTGAAAATGATACGCTGAGTTACCTGTCCAAGGTCACATAGGAAGTCGGTGGCAGATACATGAATTAATCTGAGGTCTCCTGAAACCCCAGGCCAGTTTAACCAGAGAACTATGGTATTTGTGAACCGGCATATTGAAAAAATTCTTGTTTCTGAACTATATTGGTATATAGATACTATAATGGGACTATTCCCAGCAGACTGCTTCAGTCAGAGTACCATTCAAATTGGATCTATTTATATGGAATTGTCCACTGAAAATTGTTGAAAATGTTTTATCTGTTGCATCAGTCTGGAGTAGCCCCAACTCACTGAATTTCTGAGTTTTGCTTTATATTAAATTATTTATCTATTTATTCACATAGGAAATGTAATGCAGCTCTGCTTGGGTTTGGTGAATGTGCAAACTTTCTCTCCCTACCCCTTCATCTTCTGCATATATGAAATAGATCTGTACAGTCCCCATGCTCAAAGCATTTAAAGCAACAAATTAATCATTTCTTAAGCATGAAGGACACAGAGTGCAAAACACTTTTGTGACTAAAGCCTTCAATTTATAAATAATGCCCAAATGGATTGCCTACCTTGTATTTTATTACTATCAATTTGGTTAAGCCTGGAGAAATAATACAGCATAAAACCAAAAATAGCATTTCTCTATTCTGCTCTTTCAGATTGGGGCTTCAGTGATCGAGAAAGGAAGATTAGAAGATGTAGTATTTTTATACCATTAATTTGCCTGCAGGCTTTTAGCATTGGACAGAAAATGCTTTTCCAACATATACAGTACAGTCTACACTAAGAACTGGAGGCTATCTTCATGCTTTCAAGCTTCTCTCTATAGCTCTAATAATTACAATGTATCAGGACTTTTTGCCGAAAGTGACTCTGAAAAAGAGCATTCAAAGAAGATGTGAAAATTCAAAGAAAAGTTTTATAAAACCCAAGAAAAATGTTGGGGAGAAAAAAATTATTTTTCTACCTGAAAAACTAAAAATGTTACAGCCAACGCTTTCAATGTTTCTGATTTTGGATGCCCAACAAAGTGTCTGAAAAATTGGGCACTCTAAAACAGAGGTACCTAAGATCACAGGCTAGCTTTATAGTCTGGTCTAAATACTTACAATTGTTATATTAAAGAGATTTTATCAGAGGACAGTGCAAGGCCTTGTGGTTAAAGCAGGTGGCTGGGAACCACAACTCGTGGGTTCTATTCACAACTGTTGGTCAAATACTTGCTTGACTGGGAAAAGTTATACTAAAACATTTTTGTGCCACAGTTTTCCCATTTGTAAATAAGAGAGAGTCATACTTCCTTGCTTCACAGGATTGTTGAGGGGATGACTTAACTATTGTCTGTAAAGTGAAATATGTCAGAGTGGGTCAGATTCTCAACTTGTGTAAAATGTCAGCTGAGGATCTGGCCCTATAGATTTATAAATTTTCATTAGAATAATTTATAAATTTTCATTAGAATAATTTCTTTATCCTTTTTCCCCCTCCCAGAGAATCGCCATAGTGCAGGAGTTGTGCTTGGTGCGATTGTAGGAGCCATTCTAGGATCTGCATTAATTGGTCTGATTGGGTACTTTATATGTGGGAAGAGAAAGTCTGGCTCATTTTCCCATCAGCGACTTTATGATGACACAAGGAGTGAACCAGGTAAAGAATATCACAAATGTTCCCGGAGTAGAAGGACTTTTCTATTCTGCACAGAACTCTTGAGGTGAATTTTTTGTCCCACTAAAGTCAATGGAGCTAGAATTTCACTGCTATTCTTTTTATTTAGATTGTACAAATCAGTTTGGCAAATGGTTTTAAAGTATATCCAAGGCTTCTCAGTATTCATAAACAGGGAGAGGGGATGTTTTTAAAATCTTTGGTAAATTTTGTATTGAGAGAAGAGTTTAGGGTATTTCTGCTTGGCACAGTTAATCCAAGTTAGTCTAGCCCAAGTGCAAGCATCCCACAGCAAAACCCTACCCGCTTTATTGTGTCCTCACTGTTCTGCAATAGCCTGGGTATGCCTGGAGACATATCCCATAGTTCTTTGGGCTGAGACACTGTAGAAGATGCTCTCTCAGTCAATTGTGGGAGGATTTGTCTGTCCTTCAGAGGGAATTGTGAGAAGGGCATTGGAGGACTATCAGCACTGGAATGATTTTGCCTTGATCCTCACTGCAAAGTTGCTGGGTTCCAGTCCAAGTTAAAACAGAACTTGGACACTAACGCATACCACCATCTGGGTGCATAAAGCACCTCCAGCCCAATGTCATAGGTTTTTCTGTATGGATGGTAGGGAAGTTTGGCCTAAAATCAAGATTTAACTGTACAGTGAAGATAGTCCCTTTAGACTTTGATACCATTTCATATATACAAAGTATTTAAACAACATGCAACACCTGGGCCCTAGCTGAATAAGTTCATACTAACTGGAATTTGTACAACTACTGAGTTGACTGAACAGCAGTCATTGCCAATCAGTATCATTAAGCCAATGGGTTATCTGCAAACTCCCCCATAAATAAATCCAGGAGGATATCATTCATATGGTTTCAGAACTTCAGTACCCAAAAATATCCATGCTCACAAATTAACATGGATTACACAGAATAATTTTGAGGTACCAAGGTAAAATTGTAATCAAAGAAGACATTAATAAGATATATTAACTACAATATCTGCCAGAGAACACCACTAGCATAAAACACTGCAACACAATTAGGCCATGTCTGTATTTTGATTGTGCCATTTTTTTGTTTAAAAAACAGATTCTGTTAACACAATTTTTGATCCTGTAATTTGATCTGCACCCTTGTGGATAATGGAGCTGTGCATGACTGCAAAAGTCCTACCTGTTGGATCTGGTTGTGGTATTAGTACCAGGGTTTTGCCAGCATTGTCGCTAAAAGTGGCATAACTATTAAAAGACTTTTGAAAATAATTGCAAACAGTGATCTGACTGCCTTGTTTTGAGACTGGTTTGTAAAAAATCCTCATCATTAGCAAAACCCATGTTAGCTGGAATAACGATGAAAGTTTCCAAAGACGTGCAAATTTGTATTTATGGTCTCAAGGTGTAAATTGCAGACAAAGATTAAAAAACCCAAAACCAAACAAAAAACCTCACAAAGCACAAGTAGGTATCAGTTACTGTACAAGTAGCTTTAAAGAAGAGAAATAAATCAACAGTCCAACTCAGCACTTTAATAGGCATTTTCTGTCTTTAGGTTTGCTTCTGTGACTGCTGAAGAGACTGAAGGCAGAATTTCACTGTAGTGATCCATTTTATTGAGCTGCCTTGATTTTAAATTCTTGTATTTATTTTTGAAATGAGCCAGGCATACATATACCTCACAAGTTAAGAGTCTAGCACTCAACACATTAATCTGTTATGCTTTTCTATCTAGTGTAGACTAAAGAGCTTTTTAATCTTCATTGCCTCACAGAATCAATAAAAACAACCACAAGACAACATTTCAGAACAGAGATATAAATTACTTATATCAAACATAGCCAAGCACATTTTCAGCAGTTTCTCTTATAGACAATAGATTAGTGTTTAATAAAATATGGCCTATGCATAATTATTAATGCATAGTAGCCAGTGATCCAACACCTCGAGAACATTTTTTCCATGTGTTGAAACATGTTGCACTCAGATTATTGTAGTTTTTATTTTTTGATTACAGTGCATCCTTTTTTTTAAACAGGAAGCTAATGTGTAATTTATCTAGAAATTTGTGAACACACACATATGCACATACCCACCGCTCTTTCCATAATTGTATACAAAAGAAAAAAAATGAGTGTTCCCACATTCAAAATATGCAGGGGAAGTGAATAAAATTTCTTTTACTCTGTTTTTAAAATCTCTCTTTCCCATGTAGGTGTACATAAGAATGTAATTCTTAATGTGTTGAATCATAATTTGGAAAACAATGCCATTGTCCGGCTATAATGGAAGTAGGACAGAAGATACTGGATGTGGTTTAATTAAGACTCAATTTTATTCTTAAATGCCTGGGAGTACCTGGCTGATATAAGTATACAGTGCAGGTAATTCCATAATCAGTTAAATATATACCCGAGCAGCTTCTGCTGCTAGAGCCCACCATCCCCCCCACCCCCAAATGAGGGTTAAAGGCGGGGGGCTATAAAGGATAGGGGGTTGGTTCCCTGCCATACCAGTCTCAGGAGCCCTGAACTGCCCTCCCCCATTTCTGCTCCTTTAAAGGATACTTTCTTTAAATCCTTTACCAATCCATTTTATTTCATCAATATACCCTTCCCTACAGAGTCCTTGCACTGGACATCTGCCCCACATTTACATAATGAGTTGCAACATCATATCCGAACTTCTGTTTCATGTTCGCCCCAACAAAGGCCCCAGAACTTACTGTGCATAAGGCAACCCTTCTCCCTCCCGTCCCACATATAGTTAATGTTGGCAAATCTGGCAGTGAGGGACACATTCCTTCCCAGACCTCTGAGAAAGGAGTGACCAGCACAATGCCCACAGCAGGTCCTGACAAAACCTGATATTTCACCACTTCCATGGGTAGGTGCTGATCCAGGTAAAAGAGGGCTTTTCCTGCACTGCATGAACCTATATAGACTCCCCTCTCTTCTGGTCCCCTGGTGGGAGGATGGGTCAGGCTCCCCATGCTGAACTGGTCTGCCACTGCAGCAGAAAGTCACTCCCTGTCTCTCTAGCCCTTAAAGAGGCACTCACTTTTTCCAGCACACCACACAATGGTCCCCATTGCTTCATGTGCAGAGAGGTCATTCATGCACAGCTGTTCCATTATTATTAATATATATTTATATCACAGTAGCACCTGGAGACCCCAATCAAGACCATAGCCCCATTGTGCCTGGTGTTTGAGACATGCAACATTATTTTCTGTTGCAGATACTATGCTGGTTTATTGTATTTGTCCTGTAAAAATGTTACTAGTAGGGCCATAATGAATTGTGCAGCCAAGTAGTGCACTTTGTAGGCACACTAATACATTATTAAAGATCCATGTAAGTGTTTATGATAGTGGATGGTTAAACACCGACCAGTTCTGGCAGAATTATGGACCTATATTGTACAATATACATTTTGGATACCAATTGTTTTGGTATCCAAACACAGATCCACGAACATTAAAAACAAAAATCCAGTGTAAAGTCACTTGCACTATTCATGTGCAGACATTTTCTGACATTTCCATGTTTACACTCAGATCTTCAAAAGAACAACATTTTGCTGTTTTGATCATCTTCTTGACAGTAAAGAAATATGGAAGAGATTGAATATACTATAGTTTCTGGTATAGTTTGGATTCAATCTAGTCACAGAGTACTTTGGATTATTCATCTTTGAGTGAAAAAAAATTAACTGAAATGTTTTTAGTGAAACAGTGTTATTCTTTTTAATAGATGGTCTCGTTGCTAAAACACCACGCAGATAATTAGAATATTTAGGTTCTATTCCTGGCTCTTCTACAGACAACTTGTGTGGGCAAGCCACTGAGAACCCAATCCAAAGCCCTTTGAAGTCAATTTATTGACTTCAGTGGGTTTTGAATCAGGTCCTGAATCTTTCTCTGTCTCAGTTCCTCATCTGTAAAAAGGGGACAACAACTTTTTTCTACCTCAGGTGTTACACGACTAAATTTATTAATGTTGAGGCACTCAGACACTAAAGCGATAAGCACCACTGAAAAACCTATAAATAATCATGATGTATTTTTCCAGGTCTCCGATTAGATAATTCATCTCATGATGTGAGCTTTGGTGATTTGTCTTACTACAATCCCAGCACAACAAATGAGCCAGCAGCACAGAACAGCAGAGGAAGACCATATGATGGCATTCCAATGGGTGACATGACTTCATCTCAACCCCCAGCATAATGTCTGGGGGTAACGTCCGCTGGCTTCAGATTACAAACTCATTTGTGATCTATGTGCCTTGTTTTACATACATTGCTCCCACAGTATTTTGCAAGTTTATTTTCCCTGAAGTAATCCTATGGCTATTAACATGAAAGGCTTTGGATAGCATATCTGAAATCACAAGATATATTAACACATGCCAGTCATACACTGCTGTGCCAGAGCACCACTGTCCCAGTTGGTAATTAAACTAAATTCAATGCTCAATCTGCTTCTGTGTTAAAAGGCACTATGCTATCTTTTAAAAAAACAATATTGGTAAACTGTACAGAAACAGGAAAAATCCTGTTTGTTGGACCTGGGCAACTTCCTTTGGCCTCAGTCGAGGTTGCAAACATGTAATGGAGCAAAATACAACCAGGATCCTAAGGAAAGTTTAGCACCAAGACAAAATAACCATAATGACTATCTTGATGAGAAGCAGCTTTCTTCAAATGTCATTTCCTTCAGATCTGCAGCTCGGGGGATTTCCTCCTCGCCTTGATATTTGCATCTTCCCGAGAGAAAAAAAGCTATAAGGCACTGGTTTTAATTACATTACTTACAGCTTGCAATTTGCCAAGCCAAAGTGAATTACTGTTTATCATGAAGAGAATTTGCTCACACTGATAGAGTTACAATTACTACAAAAAGGAGACAACAAGAATGAATAGTCAACACTTCCTCCTCCTCTGCACCAGTTGGTCTATTATCTGCATTGCAGGTTAGGATCTGTAGAAATGATGCAGCATATTTTGGGATGGGCTATGTGGAAGGAAGGAATTATCTTTGGGTAAAAAATATAAAAAGAATCCAGAGAACCACAGTTTAAAATCTTGCTCATTCAGCAAGTCTAAAAATCATTGAGATATCCAAAATAATAGTATAATGTATCTGTTTATAGCTACCTAAGATGCCTAAAGACATAAGAAGGGCTTTATGAAGGTAAAACATTACTGGTAAAAACAACATGATGCTTAGGGATCTCAAAGATTAAGGGGCTTAATATTTGTGTGGGACATATGTTTATTGCTGTGGATCTTAATGTGTGTTATTAAGAGTGGATACTTTGGGCCCAGTCAGTGGAGCTACACCCACAAATATCAGCTGAGAACTTGGCCACGAGTGTGTTAAGTTCACAAAGAAAAAAAGAAATAAGATGTTAAACTTCACTCATTTGCAACTGTGATAATCTAATGTAAGTGAATATAGATAAGTGTATAAGTGAACCATGACTACAGCAAAACAAAATTAAAATCTCCATCACTGTGCTGGGTCTTCAAAGCACCCTGAACTGTCAGGGGTTTGACCATGAGGATAAATGGAATTTCCCTTGACTTTTTTCTGGTATACCCTCTGTTTTAGAGAGTAGCACAGGGTTGATACCGGATCAAGGGCTGAAGAGCAATTGCTAGAGGGCCACTCAACCAGCTATCAGTGCTGTCTGCCTCAGAGAAAGCAGGGACTTTGCCTTAGGATTGGGGAGAAGCCAGAAAAGCTCAGCGGAGTATTTCATTATTCTGACATTCATACTAAACAAAAAATTGACACAAGTAGCACCTGGGTGATAGCTAATGGCTGTACACATATCTGCATATTGTGTGCAGAAGGACAAATCACATGGCCATGAATTTTGGAGGCTTTATATAATTAAATAATAATAGGAACCATTGTGTTGTGTGCTTACAACAGCAAGGTGGGGATGTAACAATGAATTGCCACAGCTGCAAGCATTACAAGTGCACACACCAGATGTTTTCATTGGTTTTGTCTCCTATTGATCACCCCATTTTTTTTTTATTTAATTAAGTGGTTTGCATATCTATTTTTGCTAGCAAGGACATCAAAACATGAGTGATGTTCAACCACACATTGTGGATTAACACTTTTGAAACTCCTCCTTTTCTTCTTTGCACTTGCTGCAGCTGGGAGAGTGAGAAATGCCTGTTCATGTGTATTATATAAATACAGCATCTGTGTGGCATTTAACCTCACCACAATGGTACAGCATTGGTTTGAATAGTCAGTGCTCTGTGTGGACCAATGTTAAAGTCTCAGGGTACAAATATGCAGCACTTTCACTGGAAGAACTATCTCCCCATCTATCTCATATATTTACAGCATGCTAATCTTATTATAATCTAGGTGTTGCCACTGACTTCCCATTGCAAACTTGTTATCGACGGCAATGAAAGATCACTGGATCAGACCCCTCAGTGTTGTAAAAACTGCATCTGCCTTCTTTTGAACAAAGAAATGTTATGCAATGGTAACTCCTGTTCAAGAGTCACTTCTGAGCATTTACTCTTTGTTTGATGCCTCCTGGTGTGGAGCATAATGTCACAGTGAATGCAGAGAGGCTCTCGAAGAACAGAATAATTACATGAAATCTTCCTGTAAATAGTTAACACAAAACCCTCTGACCTGCCTTTAACTCACTGTAATTAGCCTTCGCCTACAAGCTTTCAAATCTGTTAATCTTACAGTGCTCCACATTGGATTACACTGATTTTGGCCCCAAACCTTCATGTTACTCTGTGTGAGTGGATCCCCATGAGGCTCTGCACACATGACATAGATTGCAGGATTAAAGGTCTTATTTTTCTACAGTCATTACGTTTTGAACATAAATTAGTAGTGGAGTATTTTTAATGTCCTACTAGTACAAAAACTGATTTGAAGAAAATAGAAAAATATGAATAAACATGGATACTACTTGCTTAACATTACATTAAACTTCAAATCCCTCTAAAACTAATAGTCATCTATGGAAGGAGAGGTGAACAGAACACTTAGGAAGGAAAATGGACTTACCCCATATTGCCATAAAAATAGCAAAGAAGACAGTGCCTCCATTATCAAACAAATGTGTAACCTAAGCAGAAAGTAAAACACATAATGCAAAATAAATAATATCAATACTACCTTACATTCATGTAGTATTTCCCCCCCACACACACCAAAAAAACAAAAAAACAAAAAAAAAACAAAAATGCTTTACAGGTTTTAGACCCCAAAATATAGGCATCCTAATAAGAAGTCCTAATCCCACATAAAGGTGCACACATCAGCATTTACATGCACAATTCCATTCATCCCCCACTATTCCCATTGCTAGTCCAGGCATGGATCATCTTTCATCACTGCAATTCTCACTCTGGCCTCAGTCATCTTTAATGTGCCCAAAATACTATCTCAAAACTCAGTTACTTAGCCAGCTATTCTAACCACATCCCACCAGTCTTCAAAATTTTCCTTGGTTTCCTCTCACCTGCTGCATTAGATTTAAACTCCTTGTCCTGTCCTTTTAGGACCTGAACAACTTAAATCAGGCCTACCTACCAACTTTCATCTCTTTATTTACCTCTTCCCCAGGAATGTTCCTTGTCTAATCATTCCCTTCATTGTCTCTTCCTTCCTTGCAACTCCATGCTTGGATCCCTTTTCTCACTTGATCCACCTTGCCTCCATGCTCTCCCTCTAAATCCCTCTTGAAAATATCCTTCCCTTCTAAAGAGTCTATAAATCCTAATCACTCTCAAAATGAAGAATAAAACCATCCAGACATTAACAAAAATTAATGTCAAAATGAAGTAATTATAGTACGACGCTATGCATAACATTCCACCTCTCAATCATTTTTGCTGTTTGTTGCACCCTATTGCCCATTTTCTACTTACAGTGTAAACTCTTTGGGACAGATTTGTTTTATCTGCAAAGTTCAGATAAAGTTCATGGTGGGTAGATAAATTGTAATTGAAAACTGTTACATGCCTATGTGTCAGTTTGAGTGCCCTAAGGGGGTTTGTTGTCCCAATTTTGAAAATGGTGTCCTCTATGTATTGTTCAGGGTTCATTTTATCCATCATAGAAATACAGCCATTTCCATGGTAGAAATCCAGCAGTCACTGTGTATGAGCCACAGTAGGCAATAGTACTGTATTAGGAGGCTTAGGTGAAGAATAATTTCTCCTACTGAAAAGGGATTTTAGGTGGGCAATTGCCAGTGATGAAATTTGGTCAGGGATACTGGACTGAAACATATTCTAGTGAAACAATGCTATAAGACGTTTGGTGAGCATCAGTGACCAGAACCTCAGGTTTAAAGTGTCATTTGAAAGATCACATACATCATTACATTATATTGGAGTAAACCCATGAGAGAAAGAATTTATGGGCAGACACATTTGATAAAAGGAGCACCAAACAGGGAAATTAGGGAAAAACAAAAACTAAAAGAAAAGTTTTCATAAGTGGTTTTAATAACTAATGCAATAAAACATTGAGTTATTAAACACACAAGTTTTAGTAGTAAACAGGGCTCTGTTTATTTTACTGTGCTGAAGAAAATGGAGACGTTATTACTTAATGCCAAAGATCATCAAGTACAATATGTAATTTTGTGTGAATTATATAATCATGTGAAACTTATATGCAAATATGCCTTTGGCTTTGTTTTTCTTTTGTTATAATAAAAGGAACATACAAGCAAAGTATTTTATGAGACTGAAAATCTGATTGGAAAATGAAAGCAGCAGGATTTACAAAATTTTACAGATCAATAAAAGTGACAAGTGTTTCCAGATTTTAAATGTGTGGCAGGTTAGGGGAATTTGCGCAATAAAGATATCTGTAAGCAATACACCTATCTGAAGAAATGGAAAAGGAACCCCAAAAGAGTTATGGCTCAGAAGATCTTGCTTGAATAGAAGGTGGGTTTCCGACTCCAGATCATGCATTTTCTTTAGAATGACCAGACCAGTTTTGACCTGTAGTCTTAGTAATATATCAAACTAGGATTTTATCCAAAAGCTAAGCAGAGTGGGCCGAGCTGCCTGGGCCTCTGCATAGAAGTTAGAAGTAAAGAAAGTAGTGCTGGTGAGTCAGGAAATGTGCTATAGGGCAACATACAGTTGAAGGCAAGACAAAAACATAAAACCAAGGTGCTGACCACCTCTGATTGTTAAAGAACTCCTTTTCAAGAACAAGAGTGTGAACCCCAGTGTCCTGGCCAAATCACACCTTAAATAATTACATTCTCCTTAAATTATCTCCCCAGTACTAATTGGTTATGTTATTCTTAAGGGGACATATCAAAAGAAATGTCATAGTACAAATTGTGCTCCTTACAGCTGCATGGAGGGGATGACATAAGGAAGTAGGCTAGCCACCTTCACCGCATTATCTTCCATCTCCCCAGACAAGGGTAGGGTTTTCTGCAGGTTCTGTGATCTGCCTCTCAGGAGGAGGAGGGAAATGGTGGGCCAGAGGCAAGAGTGAGAGGAGGAAAATTGCATAATTTCCATCCCACTCCCTCAAGCCTTGTAAAAAAAAAAAATCACCAGGGCTATGTTAACTTTAATGTGAAGTTTGGTGCATTCAGATCCACCACTTAAGCAATGTCACCCCAGTACCCAGTTAGGTACCATGCACATTCCTATTTTACCCACTGTGGCTTGCAGGTGGTGTGAGGAAGACAAAAAAATCCAATTTGACCCATGGGAGAAAAAATTCCTTCCTAACCCCCTTAACAGGCTACCAGCTAGATCCACAGCATCTGTCAGGTTGGGTTCTCATTCCTAGTTTTGGTGGGTAGGGTGGGCAGCTGGAACAGAGCCAAAAGAGGTTTCACATGGCCCCTGAATCAGGTTAAATCCTGGGAGCTGGGGAACGCTGGCCAACCAGTGCCCCTCTCCCCCAGCTGGCCAATGGGTGCCAAAGACTCCTATGGGAGGAGCTACCTATTGTCCCTAGATGAGTGCCTCCCTCTATTGCTACCATCACTGTCCCCCTTTCACCTCTGGCCTCATCAATTTCCCCCACCCATTGATGTGCATGGGTGGCATTCAACTCAGGCCTGGAATGCCATCTATCTTTCTTCCAGGCTAGTGTTTACAAGGGCGTGTGATGTTTACAGCACTAAGCCTGCAACTTTCATAGCAAATATAAGAAAGAGAAAACATTTCTTTAGGGACAGGGATCCTAAAACGACATGATTTAAAACTACTACAGTTGAGATTATTGTGTCCCTTCCAGTCAACTGCTGGGCAGGGCTGCTGTGGGCTATTAAACAGCTGCACTCCATAGGTGATGGGCAGCACAGCACAGTTTGTACAATGCTTTGTGTGCGTTTGATGAAAGGTGTTGCATGCAGTATATGTACAATTATTAATACAGCTGGTCAGAAAAAACTTTGATGGAACCATTTTTTGTCAGAAAAGGCCCTTCCATTAAAATCAAGAGGCTTCTTGAAATTAAGTCGATTTCATTAAAATTTTGTTTTGGGGGAAAAACCAAGCTCCAACAATATGAAAACATCCCATTTCCACATTTTGGAAATTAAACATTTTGATTTGTCATTTTGAAATGACTTTTTGTTTTGATTATTTTTGTTGTGTATTATAGTATATGTTATAAAGTAAACTAAAAATCAAAATGAAATGTTTTGATCAAAAAATTGCTTGGCATTTTCTTTTCATGGAGAATTTCTACATTTTTGGGCTTAGTTCCAATTTGTGAAACTAAATTTCAAAATCCTTTAAAAACTGAATTTCCTTCTCAACTTATTACCATCATGCCTTAAAGCCACAGCCATTCAAATTTCTGTAAACAATACTGAGTTCTAAACAAGAATTATTTGATTGTGCTGAATAATTTTAAGAAAGAAAAGCTGAGACTGGTTCCAGCCTTGGTAATATAATACAAACCAAAGTGGCTTCATATATGTGTCCATTTATATACATTGCTTGCATTCAAAAGCAGTCAATGTTTATGTTTGATGGACAGTTTCCTGTAGCAAAAGATTTGACTGTGTAGGACCATTGCATTGGGCACACCACAGGAGCATTATAATTCTCTATAATGAAAAAAAAAATCCTTTAAAAAGAACAGAAATCCGGTCATCAACACTACAGGGAAACAGAAAAGTGAGAACATAATCATATAGGAAAGTAGAAAACCTTACCAGAAAAAAAAAAGTTTGCTGTATCATCGGGGCTCTTCAGATGGACAAAATAGAGGTAGGAAGAAAATGCTCTCAGAAAGTCATTTTTAGAATCAGCTGTTATTGCTTTATCATCAATTGAAAGACAATAGATGCTGAGTAGAAAGGTTGCAAATATTTTTGTCACTGAAAAGTTAGCAGAGCATCACCAAATTGTAGAGGAGCCTTTGCTGAAGTAACAGCAGCAATCATTATGCAGAAAGAATTGACTTTTAGATAGCATCAGCTTGCAGCACAAAACTAATAATTACCTTTGCATATATGCAGCTTTCGTTGAGTTTCTGTAGCGTGCAATTGCGTTCGCACATAGGGCACATGATGGTTTCATTTGCCTCGCAGATCTCTTTGCTTTAGTAGAAAGATGGGAAAATAAAGATGATAAAAAAGGCTTTCAGCATCCTCCACATTTTTCCAGACCCAGGCTACACCATTTATATTCTTAATTGGTTCTTAACATGCCTAGACCGTGAAATAGGCTCTTTAAAAATCTAATTTTCAGTGATCAATTTAATTTAAGAGCCAAATCCTGGTCCCACTGAAATAAAAAGGAGCTTTACAAATAACTTCAGTGCCAACAGGATTTGACCCTAAGCAAATAACACATCATCTTTGGACCTGATACTTCAGTCCCTATTTCTGCTAAACACACATGTATTTCAACAGAAGTATTACATG